TATGAAAAATATATTTGTTTTTCAAAAATACAAGCTAGGAGGTAGCATTGAAATAGCTTAAAACAGATGTTTTAAAAATTACTGTATCCTGGATTCTGTGAAAATTTAGTTGTATAGAGATTGTATGCTATTATGAATTTGTTTAAAGTTTAGTAAACAAAATGTGAAGAATTGTTAGGCTGATAATACTGTACTCTATTACCAAATACAGTACTTAACCACAGTAATAAATGTTTCGTAGGCCCAATGTGGCATATATTTTACCTGACAATACAAGTTTTCCAAGATGATTTGACATTTCATCTCGAAAGAAGTTTTCTTTTCAAAGCTTTAATCTGTCATAAGTACAGTATATTAGTCATGGGTTTAAAATTTATCTTTTGTATTCTAGATTATACTAAGTTATCCATATTTACTGTAGGCATGCCTAGTCTAACATGACTCTATATCCTACTACCTTTGTTTCTCGGGTATAAGCACACCATGGTCTTTTTCAGGCAAAAGCCCATGGTATCATTTGAAACAGTACTCATTCTCAGCTGACTTTCACAAATATTTTTTAGAAAATTAAGCATGCACTATTGAAAATTGCCTTTTGATTACTGTATTTCAATTCCAGGGACAATCCTTAGTGGGTGATTTTTAACCATTTCAATGATGAAATTTAGAAATAATAATAGAATTTATACTGCTTGGTGGTGGTCTGAAATTTGAAATAAATGTTTCACTGGTAAGTTTCTTTGTAATAGTTTGTTAATTTTAATGTTTTATTATTAGATATAGACTTGTTATTTTCTTTTAGTTTTAGTTATATTGCATTAAAGCCTATATATTATGTATATAATATAAATTGCAAACCATTACCATTATAGATAAAATAGATTAATTAGGATTAGGGATTACTCTATTTATCTCTGGGACAAACCTTAGTACTGTATATACAGGATGTTCAGCCATAAACAAAATTCAATACCACTTTATCCTTTAAATCTCTTTGTTAAATAGAATACTGTATGTAGCCTGATTATTTTGTATGCATCTATCAACAAATGCACAATATGCAATATATAAGAATATATCCCACTTGTCCATGGAGTATGTATAAGCAGGCAGTTGTGGTATAATCTAGGGCAAGTTTAATGCACTTAGTTTCTGCCTGGCCTTTGGGTAGTGTAGGCAATTTTAGTGAGGATTTGTACTAAAAGAATGTATAAAAAAGTTGGGTTTGACTCTGGTGTTTATTTATACAGTAATAGGTTACAAAATATTTGAAGATACTATCTCCTTCTCCCCTTTAATGTTCATTATAATAATTGATAATTTGGTACTAGTGGTGGTGCCAGTGGGGGTCAGGTTGACAATTACCATATTCCGTGTCTGACAAATTAACCTCCGTTTTCAGGCATAACTTGAGGTTGTCGGACTTGAAATATAAATTTTCGACTGTTTTGTGCAACCTTGTGGGACATTTTGATGTCTGCAGATGTCCAGTAGCCACCCCTGTTCATAGCCAAATCTCTTATTCTTACCAGGATTGAAACAGTAGATTTCAGTGAGTGTGACCTACTGGAAGGTTGTTAAGTATTTTTGTTGATTGCATCATTGAAAGACAACAAGAACTGTTATTGTTTGAGGAGGTAAATATGCTTCTGTTGGAATTACAGCCTTTATCATGGACATCTAGTACAATTGTGGAGATGCGGAGTGATACTATAGATAATGGTACAGCTGGACTACACTAAACGCCAATAAGCTGATTTTTAAATTCCTTGACCATTAGAATAGTTGACTGACCATGAGTAGTTGACCCTTGATGCCCGGGCAAGGTCAATAGTGAAAACGTGTTGTACTGTAGGGTACTTATATAAAGGTAACATAGTTTGGACATTCTACAATAAATTTGTGTTGGTAAGTTCGCTTTGATTATATCAAATGTTGTCTTTTTTTTTTTAAATCCTTAAATTGGCGCTGAAACTATCATGCCCAGAAGACATAAGAAAGTTAATTATTTCAAAATATCACAATTTAAATATTAAAATTAATTTATTCTCAACTGGTAGTTACCAATGTATTAAGTGTAAGTTGTATTGAATGATGTGACCATAAAGTTTTCAGAAAGTATTAAGCATCGTAGAAAAATCAATACCTGCCACTAATGGCATTTTACAATGCTAGCTGAAAATGCAATTTTGAAACTAGAAGGCACCAACATTTTTAGATGTAATAGCTTAAAGTGTTAAAAAATACTGATATAACCATAGATAGGCCACGGGTGACACTCAGAGCATAGTTACAACTGATAAGCACGGAATCTCCCAGGTTAAATTTTAAGGTATGTTGTATATTTGATAAGTTAATTTATTGAAAACTTGTAACGATTCTGCCAACTGTTGAATGTAGAATGGTAGGCAAGTTTGATCCTCTCATCCGATTGACCTCATCATTTGACCTTGATTTCACTGCCAGGAACTGAAACGAGTATGAGTACGGTAGGCGTGTAGTCCTACAACTTGTACCACAATCATAGGAATTGTTCACTTCCTTTAGTCCACGGCAGCTGTGTTGGACTATTGCTCTGTGGGTGGACAATAAAACATTTTTTGTTACTGTGGGATATTCAAGTTTTTGTCAGCGTAAGTTTATGTGGCTTCTTGTTTACTAATTATCATTTTATGTGTTTATATTAGGGTTAACATTGTTTTCACAATTGTATAATGTGTTTATTTAACTTTAGTTTTGTTTGTTCAACTTTTAAGTATGAAATTGCAATTAGTCGATTGATTTACCTAAGAGGGAATGTGAAGAGTTATCCCCTTAGAGACTTGGTTATAAATTGTTGAACATCGCTATTTACCAGGCAAAAAAAAAGTGGTTTTTTTTGGATTGCATTGTCATGTCAAAATATTCTTTTAAGTATTAAGAATTGTTTTTATTACATATTGAGTAAAACTGTCCACGATTACGGTATTCAAGTTGAAATTGGATCTCTGATACATTCAGATTCCTAAGGTTTTCCTAATGTATTGTAAAAGTGGTTGGCTGATGTAGTACTGTATGATGAGTATTTAACATAGTGGTTATGTTCTGTAGAAGTGGTTAGGCGCAGCGGGAATGGTTTAGCTTCTCAACCTCGAGGTCAGGGTTTTAATCCCTCGCTATGTAATTTTGCCTGTGTCCTTGAGCAAGGCACTTTATCTGCATTGCTTCTCTTCACCCAGGAGTATAAGTGGGTACCTAAGGAGGTTTGAGTGCAAAATGCGCTGATATATTTCATGCAGCAAACTATGGAATTTTCCCTTAGTCGTTCCAATGACTGGTGTAATAATGTGGAAAAGTGCTCTGAGACTTAGTTGTATAGAGCACTATATAAAAACCTACATATTATTATTATTATTATTATTATTATTACTATTTCTATAATTATTATTATTTATTGTTATTATTATTATTATTATTTTTATTATTATTAATTATTATGTTTTGAGTTCTCAGCCCTTAACAAGGGTTTGAATCTCGTATTCACAAGGCATTTTGTTGTTTTTCGACACTCGGGAGTATATGAATGATAACCTACAGGATAGTAATGTCTTTTGTTTACCTTGTTGACTAGTAGTAATAATATATTAATAATAATAATAATAATAATAATAATAATAATAATAATATGAAGGTTTAAAGAGTGCCTAATACAGCTATTACTTAATGTCTTTGCACATATTATTGATAACAAGAAGTATCACTGGCATTTCAACAATGAAATGAAACTAACAAATATGTCATTCATAAGTGGAGGACTATAGATTAGATAGAAATAATCGATTAGAAATTTACACTTCCTAAAAGAATGTGCATTCAAAGCAATGTTTAAATTAAAACAGAAGATAACATGAAATAACATGTAACCAAAAAGATCCACTGATTATTCACAAATATAATATGAGTATGGTCAATCCTTAGAATTACAAGCGGGAGGCAATAAGCTATAAGAAGATAGGTAAACTAATAATGTATGTCGTTGGCTTTGACTAGAGAAACAGCAAATTTGTAAGTACGTGCTATTCAGTATACTGTAAATACAAACATTAAGTCAATAATCTGAAAGAAGCACCTACTAATTGCTGTCTTCAACTGCTAAGCCATGAGTCTGCTTCTTTTCAGTGTCATAAATGCTGTTGATGAATAATTTTTAATGCTGCTCAGATTGCCTCTAGTGTTGTCTAACAATAAAGTGCATACTCAAGAGTGGAGAGTGATAATAGTATAATATGGTACCCTGGCCCTATAAAGGAAGCAGTAACCAGTGGTTAAAACAAATTTGTTGTTCATGAAGAAAAATTACAACCCATATTATGGAATCATAAAATATCCTGGAAAGTGTTTGGGTCTTCATGGGCCAACTTCAAACTTAGCAGAATGTAAACCTTAGAAGAGTATAGTACAGTATGTCATGAAAATATATATGCCTGCTTTTAATGGGAGTTTTTTATTAGGGGTAACTGAAACTGCTTAATCTGGACTTTTTATTATGATATATAAAAGAAATTGCATGTCACTCCACATTGCACTTCATATTTGACATAAAAACTAGGGGAATCCCCACTGCTGATATTCTTTAAAGTTTCATTTATGTGAGTTAGATAAAATAACAATTGAAGGTTACAATAATGTGATGAAGTACTGCAGTACAGACAGGCAGAATAGAATGGTGGAGTAGAATAATACTCATGTGTGAACTGGAAGGCAAACTAGGTTTCCAACGTTGTTATGATATGAAAAATACATTAGAACCATGTTAGCCTCGTTATTGGGGTCATGAATTTAATCTATTGTTGTAGGCCTTTTAATGTTTCACACAAGTACAAAAATATAGCTTTACCTCAAATTCAAGACCATCTTTGGGACATTTGTGGCGGTCTTGGTTGGAATGTAGTTATTATACTTATTGTTCCTAGAATAATGATTTTTAAACATTTAAATTTAATATTTATTTTGTTTTACAGGTGAATGAAGCAGTAGGCTTTGCATTTAATTGGTAACCTTTCCAGTTGTCAACATCAAATTTGTTACCATGGTAGACTCTTCACCAGTTGTCCTCCAGTTGTCAGACTCATTTTCCAAAAACAACAATGAAGAACAAATCCTTGAAGAACATGAAGAAACTGAAAGGTAGAACTATAAAAATATATCATTACTAGAGGTTCAACTCAACAAATTCTTCTTCTCTTTATAAATATATTTACATTTTATTGCAACAGTGCTATATACCAATTGCTGTCCCATGTATTAAGAAATTACCTAAGCCTTCCCAAGGATGTGTACTTTAGTAGCTTAGCCTCACATGAGCACAAGGGCTCTAACAACTTTAGATTGCCATTGTTGACCTAATAGAATGGACTTTTTTTAGTGTCAATCTTAACTGACAATCAGAATGTGTGATTTATCCTACAAACAAGCAAGTTTCCATACGTTTTTGACACTGTGAAGCCGCACACATTGTCAAACAACATTAATAACATCTTGGATATTGTGCAACAATATCCAAGATGTGGTGCTTTAGTGAAAAGGTCAATTGAGCAATAAAATTATATTAACTTAACATACACAGTGTATAGTATTAATTGCAATTAATATACACATAGGAGCTTATAAGGAAAGACACACTTAATTTAGTCTGTTAATATGCACCATTGACATTTTCAAGATCTACATTATACATTATGAATAAAGTTTAAATAATTTTGCATTGTATTAAACATTACTTTAGTGACCAATTTTACGAGGCCTACGAGAAGGAGGACAAGTTTCGAAACCGGTTAGGCAGCACCGCATCTGTGCTCGAAGCTAAGACTCGCACTTTCGAGCGTGTAAAGGAGGAACTCCACAAAGCACAACAGGTAAAGAATTTCCACCAAAATCTAGGTAATAAATTATGAATATTCATAATGTGTAAAGTTCATTTAATAATATTTTCATTATAATGTTTTGATACATTTATAGATTTACTTGCCAAATTCTATTCAACCTTTTGATATAACCTGGGTTAAATAAATAATGTCTCATAAACTTATGTATTTCTGATATAAATCACTTGTTCTATATTATATCTACTTTCATGTTGGCAAGATATAAAAACTCATGCATGAAATTACTTTAGCCTCATTAATAGTCACTGGAGAAACTAGTGCTAAAATTGGCGTCATTGAAGCCTATTCCAAAGTATTGAATTAGTTTAATTATGCATAATTTGCTATTTTTAGAATAGATCTAATTTCTTAATGTAGCTTGTATTATATAGTACTACATCATGGTAGTTAAACAATAGTACCAGGAATCACGGTACAACATGACAACGCTTTGTTACTAAGCAACTAGCACCAAGTGGCTCATATAGCTGAGTGCCACAACAGCTAAAGGTACATTCACACCGAATCCAAATTTTTTAGATCAGAAATCTGAATCTGTGTAAGAATAGGGACGCTGGCGTTCAGTGCTTTGGAAACACGGTCAGAATTTTGTTTTTGGTATCCGATATGAATGCAGTTTAAGTCATAGTTTCCTTAGCTTTTACAACTTGTGTCTATAAACCTCAATAATAACACCACATTAGTCCAATGTATATTTGACTAGTAAAAGTTTACATGGCTCTAATAAAGATACTATGTCATAAAATTGAGATATGGCAGTTGCAAAAAGCCATTGCTGTGCATACTGTTGCTTAGCTTGGGAAGCACTCATTTGTATTAACCGCTTGGGTAATGTTGCTTAGTAGGCCTACTAAGGGATGTCACATGGTCTTGCGATACCATCAACAAAGTACTCTTTAGAATGTAAACACAATGTTGTGATAGGTATCCAAGTACTTCACAACCATTACAAAAAGTGTGTAGTATAGTTTTTATCACCGTAGAACAGACACAAATTGTTTATACAGTTCCGGTATGATTTCCTTTGATGCAGATCCTGGAAGGAAGTGATTACAAACACTATCCCCTGATTTCCTGCTTTCTAAATCGCAATACTCTGGGTGACCAAAGCTTTTTTTTAATATAACCCATTGTATTTTTGATTATATAGTGCTTAAGCTTAGTGCTATAATATTTATATAATGGCCTCTCTTGTAGCTTACATTTTATCGTCAGCTTATCAATTTAATAACAAAACTAGAATCCAGTCTTCATTTCCAATGAATTTTTCAGTTAAATGTAGATGATACTTATAGGTGATATTCAGCCTTTGTAATTCTGGGTAGTATCTTCGCCATGCATGCAGAAACTTGTGAATACGGTGCAGAGAATAATCGCTCTCGTGGGACTCCGCTACATATTAATGATTAGACCATATGAAAATTTCATATCAAGGCAAGCTACAAGGTTGTATTAGCTATACCTGGCTCTGTGCCAAACCCGAAATTGATTTTAATGTCCAATCGATCTGTTTTCTCTTTTTAATTTATTCAATAATATTCTCATCTCTATTGTGGAATCTTATAAATAAAAAATAAAATCACAAATTCAACTCATGTAACTTTCAATTATTAATTTCTGCTAATGTCTAATTTATATTAAAGAACTATGTATTTAATTATAAATTTAATTTAATGAATATTGTAATCAGAATAATGCTTGCCTTATTGTTCATCTTATGTGTCACATATTTCCAAAGGCATCGGGCACTTCAAATCATTAACCTGATCATCAGAAGAATGCCTATGACACCCTAAACTCATTTCTTTGGGGAGTATTCAATTATCTAGTAGCTAGTAATGTTTACACCAGGGAGTTGTTATTAACAACTCCCTGTTTACACTTTTGCAAAAAAAATCTTACCAATTCTGGTACAGTTCGCTACATGTTACCAAGGTTTCCTGGGTTGAAATCCTAGCTTCTTTTCTACTTTCATCTTCAATGCTATAATTGTTTTGAGTAAAATTGAACTCTAAAATATACCATATACCATACTGTTCTAATCTCTTATTGTACATAAGAAAGGTGATTGTATTCCGAGCCAAATATATAAACAGTACAAGTGATTGTGTTTGAAGTTGGTGCTTGAATGTTATCTATTCCTCTGCAAATTCCAATTCCTATATTTTTTTAAAAATCTGTCAATCCATAGACAAGAGCTCTTTGTAGAAGCTTTTAAAATTTTGGGTTTGGGATGACATTTTCAACCCAATCTGTAGGGAGAAGGTGGTATATTTATACATAGTAGGTCCTTCCTTCTTTGGTATTTTAACAATGTGTTCATTGTGAAAGACCTACCTTGTAGTATCTTACAAAGCTAATTCTGTGGCAGTTGTAAACAATGGTTTATTCAGAATCATGTTGTTTAGACTTAACACCATACCACTAGGGATGCACATTCACGTCCCGATAGGGATAACATCCAATAGAGTTCATTCAGGCAGCCAAAATGTGAGTTCACGCCCACATCTGCCCAATCATACCTCTATTGTATTGCATGTAAACTCACTGACAGTTGTCACAAGAACACAAACGTTCGCCCTAGGGTTTCAGGGAAGAACCCAGAAGCAGTGATTTATTAAATAGATACTGTACATTTGTTCATGTTTCATTACAGTTGAATAATTTTTGTTTGGCACCCTCTGTGCCTTGACACACACACACACACTGTAGCTTATTATTGCTTTCAACTGCTGTATGGTAAGATGAGTTACACAATACCATTGAGAATGGAAACAAAAGTCAATGAGTATTTAATATTATTCTTGCAGGCATTGCAATTGAAAGATGATGAGGTTAATGCCATTCGTGAAAAGATGGACCATGAAATTGAAGAGCTCACAGCCAGTCTATTTGTGGTATGTTTCTGCACGTATCATTTGGAATAATTATGTAAATTTTTTTTCCATTAGAGAATATAGAATGAATCTGCAGGTAAACTATTATACAGCTGTGAATCCATATAATTATGAGAGGGAATAGGGCTAAGGCTTGAAACTGTTCTCCATTGTTTTTCCATACTGAAATATTCTTAGACATTGTTCTCAACAGTTAAATTTATTTCAGATGATTCTTTCATATTGAAACAACAAATATCACACAGACAGTTTTGGAGTTAATATTAAAAACACAGAGCATTGAAAATACCTTTTTAAAAAGTGCAATGAAAAAATGAAAAATGTATTAAAAACAAAAATGTTAGGAACTATAATATTTGTTGTTGTCGGATCTTGATGTTTGGATCATAATTGTTACGGTTAGA